AGTTATGCCTTCCGAAACTTTTCCAACATTAAAAAAAAAAAAAAAAAAAAAAAAAAAAAAAAAAAAAAAATCGCCGACCGGCCGGTTAGGTGGCCGGCCGCGGAGATGGCCGATTTTGGCCTTCTTCGCGGCGGCGCAATGGCGCCTAGCGCCTAGGCGCCGATTAGGCGCGATTTTTGCAACATTGATTATAATACTATAAAAAAAATGGTGAGGGGGCCTGCATCCATAACATACCTCTGCCCCTGGCAAGACATGTAAGGGAGACTTTATTGTGAGTACGAGGATGAACCCCATCTGAATCATAGAAGTAAACAAAGAGGTAATGACAAACCTCTAGGCAAGTATGGATTGAGTGAATATACTGGGGCCTTGGCTAGGTATTATGGAGTTAACATTGCACTCTTAGATGAAAACATTGAAGTGACACCAAGGGCCTTGTAGGAGGTGATTGTAGGAGGTGAATGAAGGGAAAGAGGAGAGTAGCCAAGAAACCCTCGTGCTTGAAGAAATTCTAATTCATGAGTTGAAAAATAAAAAAGGGGTAGAAGAGGGAAGTGAAAGTAGTGATAAAATCGAGGTGGCAGGGACAATGAGATACCAATTAAGTGATTACCCCTTCGAGTCTTGTGATAATGATTCTCTTGATTCTTGTGATGATTTCCTTGATTGTGAGGATTTTGATATTTCTACTTGTGGGGGTGATGAGGAGATTGTTGATTGTATTGATGAGGGTGCTATGGAAATTCTTGATGTTGTCACTTTTGGAAACAATGTTGGTGATGAGAGAGTAGATGCTTGTGTTGAAAATGTTGTTACTTTGATTGGTGAAGATGTGGAAAATGGCGGAGTTGAAAATGAATATGTTGAAAAAGAGAGTGTTGTAGAAGAAAATATCATTAAAAAAGAAGAGAGTGTGAAAAAGAAATTGAGAACAATGTGGTGTTTGTTGATATGGAAATTTGTTTGAGAAAAATGATGAGGGGGAACAAGGAAGGAAATACTTTTTTTTTTTTAACAGGAAAGGAAAGAAATACTTGAAAGAGAGAGTGAAAAAAATGAGAGAAAAGAAGAAGAGATGAAGAATGAGAACATCGATGCCATATTCCTTGGGCCTTTTCTTGGCAACATTCTTGAAGGACATGTGCATTCTTTTTGCTTGAAAGAATTCAAGAATGCCCGACATTTAGGGGCATATCTCAAGAGCAAAGTGGACGGGACGCATGGCATGATCCCGATTCTTGTGTGCTTCGATGCATGATAGTAAGTTAGGTCTAGCTAAGGATCCTAAATGTTGCGCTTCTTGGGAAGCAACCTAAGGAAAATTTTAAAAAAAATGCTGAATTTTTTTTTGTTCATTCCCTTTAATTTTGTCTTTGTTTTGTTATTTTGTATATTGTTCTTGAGCTAACATTGTAGGGAAAGTCACTAAGGAGCTGAAATGTTCAAAGTGGGAAAGAAATTCAAAAAATTTTGAAAAATGCAAAAATCTATGGCACGCACGCCCCCCGTACGGGGGTCATACGCCCGAGCCACGTTCGTGGAAAAATACGTGGTAGCTCTCTAAAGTTTCACCACGCTATTGTCACGATCGTGGGACCTCTCAGATGTTTTACCACGATGCCCACCACAATCGTGGCAATGGGAGTTCTACTGATGAGCTGATCACGAAACTGGACATTGTACACACGTACGGGGTTGTATGCGGCCCATAATAAAAACGCCAAACAGAAGCAGTTCGGGCAGTATATTTTTTCACTGCTTTCACCACTCAAAAACATTCCCACAATTCGTAAAAAAATCTTGTGAACGATCAAGGTATGCCCCCGTACATCGTTCTTATGTTGGGAGCATTTAAAGGGAAAGGCTTTTTGTAGCTTACCCAAGTTGTCCCACATTTGTTAAATAACATCTTTTTTCCCTACTTATATATTCCAAGACTTTTAAGGTGGTTTGAAGTGTTATGAGAAGGGAAAAGAAGTAAACCACGCGCACGCTGTCGCGCGCCCGGCTCGAGTTGTGGTGGGGTTAACGTTTTGCTACCAAAACTATTTTCTCACCCTATTTTTGTGGATCATCTTGTGACCTTGTCCGCACAACTCAATGAATGAGTGTGCAGAGTTGGTTCTTTGCTAGTTTTTAGCCCTACAATAGTGGATGGTGAGAGGTGGGCTGTTACAATACACTAACTATATAAACCTGCTGCCTTGGTTCTGTTTTCCTCGCCAAAACCGTGCCAAAACCATACTGCCATCAACCTGCTTACGTTTATATTGCCTGCGAGTGAAACAGGGAGCAAGCTTGTTTGTTCTGTTGTGCCTGTCGAGTTTAATACACGATACAAAACCTTTACACTTTTTCGTTACAAACCAGCCACGCCCAAAACCCCACAGTGTTGCTTTTCATAACAGTTAAAAGCATTTATCACCAAGTCGAGTAAAAAAATGGCGGAAATAGCAAACACTGTGTCTGATGTTACTCCAGTTCAACCACTCATTGGTGGTTTAAACTACAAGAGATGGGCTGCAAAAATGATCATACTCCTGGAATCGAAGGATGTGGATTACGTTCTTTTTGAAGATCCTGCGAAGTTTAACGTGGCTGCTACACAGCCTGCTTTGTAGACCACGATTTCATCTGCTTCAACAGACCCGAAGTCTACAGATGCATCCAAGGACCCAAAGTCATCATCAGCATCTGAGGCAATTCGCATCAAATACGAGAAAGATAACAAGACTGCTCGTACAACCATTCTCCAACATGTAAGTGACGCGTTGTTTGACATGTTTTCTGAATACAAATCTGCAAAAGTAATTTGGGATTTAATGATTGAGAAATATGGTGCTGATGATGTAGGGAGACGCAAATATGTTGTGGGTCGTTGGTTACACTTTAAAATGGTGGACACCAAACCTGTAATCGAACAGGTACACGAGTTTGAGAATCTGGTCGGTGACATGAAAGCAGAAGGTGGAATAGTTAATGAAGTTGTCCTATGTGACTCCTTGATTGACAAATTGCCCGACTCATGGGTGGACTTCAAGAACAAAATGAAACATGACCGAAGGAACTACACACTACAACAGCTGATAAATAGCGTGAATATCAAGGAAGAAAATCGCCTGGTTCAAAGGTCTGTTATTCTTACTAACAATGTTAAAGCTAATATTGTTGAAACTAACTCTGGCTTTGACAAGTCAAAATCTGGTGACAATTCTAGAAACCAAAAGAAAAATTATAAGAATAACAGTTCCAATCGCGTTAAGAGCGGGAAAATTCAAAAAAAGGGGAAAAATACTAGTGAATGTTATGTATGTGGAAAACGAGGCCACCGTGCTGCCTAGTGCTATCACCACAAAGGGGCCACGAGTCAGAATGGTCAGAAGCCAAACAACGAGAGGCCGAAGAACCAAGCTAACCTCACGGAGAACACGGAGGATGCTGACTTAGTAGCTGCAGTAATAACTGAGGCCAACATGGTAGAAAATCCAGACGAATGGGTTGTGGACACTGGAGCTTCACGACACTTTTGCTACAACAAAGCTTTATTCAAAACTTTTGAGCCTATCACTGGTGGAGAACAAGTCTTCATGGGGAACTCCAGCGTTTCCGAGGTAAGTGGTAGAGGAAAAGTAGAATTACTGCTTTGTTCTAGAAAACATTTATTGTTGCAAAATGTGTTTTATGTCCCTTCCCTTCGAAGAAACCTGATTTTCGGAGGCCTTCTAAATAAGGCTGGAATTAAGATGGTTTTTTAGTCTGACCGTCTGACTCGTTGTGAGAAGTTCATTGGGAAGGGATATCTGCGTGAAGGTCTTTTTGTACTAGATGTCTCTATAGTTAAAAATCTCTCTGATGTATCTGGATCTTCTCTGACTGCTCGTGATAATAAGAATGCTTCTTCTGCTTATATTACTGTATCAGTTAATGTTTGGCATGCTAGATTAGGACATATTGGTACAAAATGTTTAAACAGACTGAAAAACGTGAATATGCTACCAAACTTATCTAATGATACATGTGAACAATGTGAAACATGCGCTGAGGCAAAATTTGCTAGAACATCTTTTTCAATTGTAAAACATCGTACTTCAACTTTGCTAGAATTGATTCACACTGATTTAGCAGACTTTAAGACCACTGAAAGTCGAGGTGGTAAGCGTTACTATATAACGTTTATTGATGATTTCTCCTGATATACAAAATTCATGGTGGGGAATTGTTGGGAGCATTTAAAGGGAAAGGCTTTTTGTAGCTTACCAAGTTGTCCCACATTGGTTAAATAACCTCTTCTTTCCCTACTTATATATTCCAAGACTTTTAAGATGGTTTGAAGTGTTATGAGAAGGGAAAGGAGGTAAACCATGCGCGTGCTGCCGCCGCCCGCCCGACGCGGTGGGGTCAACGTTTCTCACCCTATATTGCCTGCGAGTGAAACAGGGAGCAAGTCGATTAAATGCTTTTAAGGTAGTGTTTAATACATGATACTATCCTTTTTCGTTACAAACCAGCCACGCCCAGAACCCCACAGTGTTGCTTTTCATAACATCCTACACCACCCAACAAGAAAAATCAAAGCTTTTAACACATCCAAATCATCCATATAAGTTGCACTCCACCAATACAGTACATTGGATCCACTAGCCATATCCATTAACCCACTAGTCACCATATTCGTCAATGCCAAGTTTCCTATCCATGATCAGAGCATACAAAACCAACAAAATAACAGTTAGATAAAAACCAGCTTTAGATTCATTATTGCTACCAAAATTATATTATTATACCACCCGACACTGAATGCTAGACTTGGATTTAAGTCCTTTACCGGTCTCCGCCCAACCACCTGGTGCTAGACTTGGCATTTTCCGACCTCCGCCCAACACTATCCCGGTTTAGACGGACACAGAAATATATACAAGCACAAACGCATACATATGTATGAAGTGATGAGGGCTATTTAGAAAGAAAAGAGCTAAGGAGAGGAATAATTGTATTACCAGCAATGAAGGGCAGAGTTGTTAAGCCACCACCCTGAGGCTAAGGAGCGGAAGTTTCCACGAGAGGCTGCTGCTCACCAGCCATCTCCCCCTTTTCGTCTGAGAAATTTTCCATGGAAACAGTGACACAAATTCCTCACTTTCTAAAATCGACTCGATCTTCAAAATTAGAAGAAGAGGAGAGTGGTGGAATTGTGAGACTATAAACAATGATTTTTTTTTTAATGCTATTGACTCTATTAATTACATTGTAGTATGATTAGTTTTATTTTTTTTTTAGTATGTGCACTTGCAACGACATGAGGCGTATAAACATAAATAAAATATGCAATGGATTTTAGGAAGGATATGACAATAATACCACCGCACCAGTCGTTGCCCAAGTGCCCAACTACTAACAGGGGCCCACATAATCGAAGCTAAAATTCAGTTAAAAAAGGGAAAGTGAGGGTCACTATGACAAACTCAAAGTAGAGGCATATATAATGGGGAGTATTATTACTCATACTAATTCGCAAATTATTATGTACTACTGTGTGAATCATTAAAAAAAAAAAAAAAATCCACATTTAGTCCTAGTATTATTATAGTATGATTATTTTTTATCATTCGTTAACAAAATTATTAAAATGTCGTTAAATACAAAGGTATTTCGATCGTTTTCATACAAATAGTGAGTTGACCCAGCTATATTTTTATGTTTATTTTTTAAAACAAAATTGTAATTGAAGACTAAAATGCCATTGTATTTAAAGGCGTTAAAATTGTTTTGTTGATAGAGGACCAAAAATGGTCATGCCACAATAATACTATGACCAAATATGGATGTTCTGATAAAAATGGACTAAAAGTAGACTGCCACCTATGACCTATAAATGTATGACCAAAAATGAAATTAACTCTACAAAATAATATACTTTTAATTGTCAAATATAATTTTTTTGAAGAGTTAATTCCTGCAATGGTCCTCCGACTATATTGATTTTCCAAAATTAGTCCTTGACTTTTAATTTGGACACTTTAGGTCCCTTGACTTTCAATTTCTTTCCAATTGAGGTCCTTTCGTCAGAATACGGTTAATTGAATTTTAAATGAAGGGGTAAACTCATCATTTCACCTGCCTATGTATTATTTTTAGTATTTCTCCATTGTATACGCGATATATATGAAGATAATCTTAGTCGAAACCCTAAAATGTTCTTCATCGTTTCCCATTTGCTGACTACTCGTGTGTGCGTTCCTCTATTATTGAGATGTTTAAAATGTATAACAGCAAAATACGAAGGGAGAAATACGAAGAATAATACATAGGCAGGTGAAAGGACGAGTTTACCCCTTCATTTAAAGTCTAATGAACCGTATTCTAACGAAAGGACCTCAATTGGAAAGAAATTGAAAGTCAAGGGACCTAAAGTGTCCAAATTAAAAGTCGAGGACTAATTTTGGAAAATCACTATAGTCGGAGGACCATTGCTGGAATTAACTCTTTTTTTGAATATAAATTACATTATTTGTATACAAAATAATGTATTTTCAGTCCTTAAATAATGTACTTTAAGTACATAAATAATATACTTTTTATTTATGGTCTACATAGTTGGTGATTGTATTATATTTTCAAACAAATAAACTCTGAGTAACGAGTTATCGATCCACAGGGAAGCGATGCGTATTAAGCACTAGCTACTAATTTATTCTTGTGAAGCTAATCCTAATGATTATCATGGATGGTTTATTAAAATAATTATAACAAAACAAAGATTCAGGTTTGTGAAACAATAGAGAGAAGATGAGACTCCCGGAATTCAAGTATTTAATCACCTAGTGACATTCTAAGTTCAATATTCAATCTGGGTTTAACAAGTGTGAGGGTGCAATGTGGTATAGAGCTACTCCCGTAGTCCCTAACACTAGTGAATATTCGCTCCCACGATATAAACAACCGATAAAACAAGAACAAGCATTCATAATAAATTCCTAACTACTACCATCTCCCGGTGTGTAATAATCAAGAATTTAAACTCCCTAACAACGTTACCCTCTCCCAATGTGCAACAGTTAGGTGCAATTGTGTGTGTCGTGTGCCCTAAATTATGCCCAACTCTCGTTGTGATACAAGAATAGCGATGAAACAAGTAATTTAGGTCTTTAATTACTAGCAACAACAATATGGAACACAATTACAACACAAGTATAAAACCCAAATAATAATATATTAAAGAATTATATAACTAGGCACATAGGTTCATAAACACTTTTATCCAAGAATCTCTAAGAAAATTTAGCCACACATAACTAAGATGCAATACATAATAATAATTAAGAGTTTACAAATAATCTAAAAGAGTACAAGAATTAAACCAAGTGATTCTCTCAAATCTCCTTAGTTTGCTCCTTGCTTACCAAGATAATTTGTGGTTCTCAATTCTCTTTTTTCTTCTTCCTAAAACTCTGAATGAATCTTTTAGAGTTGAACCAAAGCAAAATTTTATAGCAAGAATCAAACGGGGACAAAATCGAAATTTCCTTTCTTTAATTTTAGAAATTGCCTTTTTTTTTTCTTTCTTTGGAAATTTGTCACCGTATGATTAGGAAATTATTGCAAACTTTATTGCTTTGGAAATTGATGCCGCATGTCCTTAATTTGCAATTCACGCTGCTTTCTTAATTTACACTTCAGCGCCACCTTTTGTAATTAACGCCGCTCGACGCATCGAATAGCAACTTCACGCGTCGAGTAGTGCTGTGCGTGAACTAAAAAACATTCTGAAATTTTTGGATGTGTCGGGTCCAATTTTTGACGCGTTCAATCCCCTGAAGCAGCACATTTGTCATTTTTGTCTCAAACTTGTCCTAAAATATCTCTTACTCTTACATTTGACCTAAAATGGTTCTAAAACACTCACAAACACCATAAATCATTCAAAATAAATATAAACCATATCTAAATGATAAAACAAGAAATTTATGTAATTAAATCACCAAAACTATGAACTCAAGCCTAAGAAATATAATCAAACTAATACTAGAAATGTACACAATTAGACTCACATTAGTTGGTCCACACAATAATGATTGTATACTAATTAGGGGTGTCAATCTTAGTTCGAATATAATAAGCTGGCTCCATAAAATTGAAAATTTTAGGATTAGGTCCATATTTAGGAAGATTAGATGATAATATTTTATTATTACCATTTAAAATATGATTTTTATGGTAGTAATAATTATATTATTATTATCTTGAAATATTTATTTTGCTTCTTAAATAGTGGTTCTTTATGTGATAATAAAATGCTCTTTAAGAAATTTTTCATGATTATAATATTTTAAATTAAAGTGTTTAATTTAAAATAATATTATGACAGAAATTTAGTGATTTAATGCAAATTTGATTTTGGAATGGAATTAATTAAATAATGAAATTTTTTATTAATTATATAGAAATTTATTGCTTTCAAAAAAAAATATAGAAATTTGTTTCTATATAAAGTTTATTTTGATTAACTCATTGATAGACCTAGAATATGTGAATATTTTATATATTATTTCACTGTGATTTTAAGTTTATTATTATTAAATTGGATTAATTTTGAGTTAAATATTATTAATTATGCATTCTTGACAGATAGGGATCGACTTAATTAAAGGGGGTTATGAGTTTTGAGGTCAAATTGCGAGTAAGCTTATTTGATGATATGAAAATGGATTCATTTGAAGAAAGATTAAAAAATTCAGGGGTCAATTTGTGAGCCTAAAAGCTTTGGGTTTAATCTCTCTCTCTCTCTCTCTCTCTCTCTCTCTCTCTCTCTCTCTCTCTCTCTCTTTACAACCAAAAATCTTGGGAGGCAAGGCAAACAAAGGTTTGGAGGGATACACAACTGAGTACGGGTTTTGACCCGGAGTACAGAGGAAGGCATCCTATTGATAAAGAAACAAGTCGTGTGAATAGCATCCGCCCAAAACACTTTAGGCACTTTCATTTGGAATAAAAGGGCACATGCAATTTCTAACAAATGGCGGTTCTTTCTTTCTGCAACACCATTCTGTTAGGAGTGTAAACACATGAAGTTTGATGTATGATACCATTTTGACTCATAAAGATCGAAAAGGATTTAAGAAGATATTCTTGAGCATTATCACTTCTTAAAACAATTTCGAAAATGTCCGGGATCCCCACAATTAAAACAAACTCGTGGGCCTCCACGACCTCTCCAAGGACCCCCGCGTCCTCTGGAGCGGTTACTACCCCCTCCTTGAGAACCATAATTTTCACCGGTACTCCCCCCTTGGGTTACCAGGGCACTCGGATCCATATTACCGTGTGACACAAAGGCATTTCTTTCTTGGGCTCGTTTGAATCATTATTTCCTGATGCATTCTGTTGCATGGAAAACACTTGATCCAAAGATTCCAAGTCCTTATTTCATAGCAGCTGAGATCTAATAACATCATATTCTTTATCCAGGCCGGCAATCCAACTAAAAACAAGTAATTTGTCACGTTGTTTTTTCATTTCATCCACATCATTCGTTATTGGCATCGCAGCAAACAAAGCAACACATACACTCTTAAAGTCATAATAGTAATCTCCAAGCTCACGCCCCTTTTGACTAGATCGATATGCTTCCTGAGATAACTGGTACAACTTTCTCAAGTTACTAGTTCCACTAAACCATTTGTTCACTAAATCCCATACTTCTTTAACAGTTTGGCAGTGTTACATAGACAAAATAATTCTCCTATCAATGCAATTAATTACACGTGACATTAAGGCTTTATCAGTAGTTTTCCAGTCCCCAGCTGTAGCATCTGTAGGACACTCTTTTTTCAAATGATCACCCTTCCCCATACCATCCAAATTTACTTTAACCAAAAACCTCCACTCAGGAAAATTAGACCCATCCGGAGCCAAAACTATGTCAATTAATTTAGATGGCGTGGAAATCACAGTGATATTCCTTTCTTGTGCCATTTTAACCTTTACCCAACAAAATCAAAAGGAAAAACAGCACACCAACCTTACGCAGTAAACAGAATACACACTGTCCGTACCTCTTTCATTAGAAGACACAACCAGACGGAAAAACATCAACACACCCCATCTCCCTGGAATCAGCACGACGAGGCGAGACCAGAGCACCAAAAACCGTGGCATCGGAGTTGCTCGGCGGCGGCAGCGCGTGAGACCTCCGACGTCGACCGGACTTCTTGAGGCGGCGGCGTCCGTCGTTCCTAGACACTCATTCTCACTTCCTACGCTCTGATACCATGTTAAAGTTGAAACTGTAGAAACTGTATATATATTTCTGTGTATTTGCTGTAAAAGGTGTAAGCCTATTTATACATAGGCTGAGAGACTCCCAACCACATAATTCAAAAAAAGAAATGAAAGACTAAGCAACTTATTCTAACTATGTCCGTTAGGACTATGTCCTTTCAGAAGAAAAGAGAAAGAAAGAAATTCAAGAAAGAAACGGACATTGCGATCCGATATGAAGTAACGAGGTCGATATTCCCGAGTTACTAGGTTGGATACTACCTCCCGGGCTTGGAATCCCGATCAGGGGGTGTGCACATTGACAAGTACGATACCTGATTCCACAGAGTTTGAGAAAAGAACCAAGAGAGTGGTTCTGTGGGCGACATGAGTATTAGGCCGGCTAGATGCCGAGCCCAGATAGGTCCGTTCACATTGTGGTGAAGTTCCTACCTCGCCCACGAGTAAAGAAAGAAAGAAAGCAAGTCAAGAGACTCAAGTGAAAGAAGAGAAAAGCGAGTCATTGCGACTCTACAGAAACATCCATAGAAAAAGTGTTCCTTTTTACAAAAGAGCGAGTGTATATACATATCTATCTACTAGTTTTTTACGCGCATTGCGCGATTGGGATAATGCCCAATGTTTTTTTTAAATAAATACTTTAAAGTATATCAAGGCAAGATTATATTGGAATTGTTCATGCATAGATAATTGAATGTTGAATTTGCGTATTTAAATAGGTAATTCTAAGTTTACAAATGCAAGATAATATAGTCAAAATTGATTATAATTGTCAATAAAATAATTGTATAGGTATGGTTGAAACCAAATACAAGACATAAGGGAGAGCAAATAAAAATTAGGACATAAAATATTAAATATATACTAATATTGAAGAGCAAACTGCTGATTGTCGAACAAGGACATTCCGAGAGGTAGTTCCCACTTCAATTTGTTGTGTAATTTGAATGCTCTTTTTGTTAATAAATCTCCAAGTAGTTAATATGATTGGCTTAATTATATTTTTTTTTTATTTTTTAAAAACAATTATTATTATTATTATTATTATTATTATTATTATTATTATTATTATTATTATTATTATTATTATTATTATTATTATTATTATTATTATTATTATTATTATTATTATTATTATTATTATTATTATGTATACCCTTGGATCATTTTACACGTTAATCTAAACAGCTAATTTTTTCAAATATCTTTTTACCAATCGTTGATATAATTCTCTTCTCAAATCCGCTAACGCTAACCGCTAACTGCTGATTGTCAAACAAGGACATTGTGAGGTAGTTCTCACTTCAATTTGTTGTATGATTTGAATACTCTCTTTGTCAACAAATCCCTCAAGTAGTTAATATGATTGGATTTATTAATTATACTATTTTAATTTTTTCATGGTATTAATAAAATACTTGGTAAATAAATATAAAGCATTATTTTGTATTATAACTTTGATATTTAATTAAAAAATAGTGCACAAAAAAAATAGACAATGTAGTGAATATAATCAATTGATGAATTTGAATGTAAAGAATTTTTACATTGGAGAAATATAAAGACAATATAACTAATAAAATTATTTCGCTTAATTAATTTATTGATAATGAATATTTTTTTTTTTTGAATAAAGACATTGTAGACACATAATTCTAAATTAAAAAAATGCATATGTATTATTTTATATTGTAGCTACTAAATTATTATTTAATTTAATAAGAGTAAAATATAGTACTAATTATGCTAACTTTGATTGGGATGTGGTTCGAACCTAAGACTTTTCTTATTGAAATCAATGAGTAAGTTAATGGTGAACTAACATAAATTAACGGAAAAGATAATATTTAACGGAAAAGTTAACGGATAACCATATTCATTAAGGATAAATTAGGCAATCTAAAGGAAAAATTAAAATCTGATCAATCTGAGTCATTCATTTGATTAAAAAATTTGACCGCCATTTTTTCTACTCATTATAGGCCTAACTCTCTTGGACTCTTATTAGTATAGTAGATATACTTATACTTAAAGCATCATGATCATCTTGTTGCATGACTACATGGGTTGCACGTTTTGCATGAAAGTATGAGAAGAAGTATGACTTTATATTGTTGTTTATCAATCAACTTGATAGCATGAGTTTGCTTGTTAAAGTTTAAGTATTTCTATATCTATCAGTTTCAGTTTGAGTAGAGTATTTCGCCATGATTAGACATATCTGTGAAAGCATGAGACTGTTGATGAGTTAACATGGCATTTGGTTGGAAGTAAGGAATTTGGGTGGAAAGGAATTGCAATTCGGTGGGAAAAGAATAAGGTGGGAATAAAGCAGGAATTCAAATTACATTGTTTGGTAGGGATGAATAGAATTATTGGGTAGGGAATGAACGAAGTGATATAAAGACTAAAATATCCTTGTGTAATAATAATAGTAGTAATAATTAAGGGTACTTTTGTAATTTCATCCCTTTTTCTTTTTCCCACAACCCCCGAATTGCAATTCATAGGGGGGTGCCCATGAATTGCAATTTAGCAAAAGGAGGGAATTGCAATTCTGTGGAATTGCCCGGAATTGCAATTCTCTCCAACCAAACGGCGTAATTGTGGCTTCCACTGAATTGCAATTCAACTACAGCCAAATTACGCCCAACCAAACAGGCCATAAATGTTTGGGAAAGCATGCCTATTTGATAATTAGGTTGCAAGCATATAGAACTATTGTTGAGTATGTTTGAGTTGTTGTTTAAAGTGATTGAAAATACTTGATCTAAGTGTACGTGGCAAATGTTTTCCAAAAGTATATTTTATAGTTGGTAGGGTATATCCCGACCGACATGCCACGTGTTTTCTTGTTGTTTATGCAGGTTTACAGGTCGGACATTCCTAAAGGAAGACGGTCGGACCCGACCGGTAGTGTTCCCAACCGGTGTCTTCATCGCCCAATTGATGGCCTTTGACCGAGAGACACGAGAATAAGCATGTGGCAACGTTACGCGTTGACAGGCAGGGCTAGCTAGGTGAAGACACGTGGGTGCTACGTGGGTTACATACTGGCCGGCCGGAATTGTGTCTCCGGCCTAGCAGCTATAAATACCAACGACGGCTACAGTGCGGGGGACTTTTGGAACGATCGATAGACTATCTACAGAGCTGCCCGACCGCAGTCAGTCGGCCCTCGGGATAGTCATTTAGATTGTATTAGGTCATTCCTTGATCAATAAAAGTCTTTATTTGCTTTTACTTGGTCTTATTTAGTATCTTGACCGCATTACGTGGAATTTATACTATCATTTTGGCGCCATCTGTGGGGACCCGAGTACGAAAGTTACGTTTGACGAGTACCGGTTCCGTCTATCACTATGTATCCTTATATGTATCAAATGGCTGAGGATGAGCAAGCCAATGCAGCCAGTTCGTCCGACCACCAACGCACTCAGTACTAGGGTCAGACCGTAGATCTGAACCTCAACCTGTCACCACCTCATCCGGTGGCCCAGAACACGGTCGCCCAGAACCCCGTTAACTACATCCAACCGGGATATCCGTCCCCCAGCCCGCAGTATCCATTCCCCGGACAATACCCATACCCGAACCCTCCACCACAGTATGCGTATTGGCCTGGCACACCAATGTATTATCCACCGCCAACCGGTTATCCACAATACATGCCTGAGCACACGGCTCCAGCTTCCGCTCCTCCGATTTGCCCGACCATGCCGACCGAGCCGCAGCTTCAGCCCACTTCCTGGGCTAGGCGCTCGGCTCGTTCGAGGTTGGGGTCGCAGGGTGCCGAGGCCTTGGAGGAACCACGACAGGCTTTTCAGGTGCATCCGGAGATGCAGGCTCGGGCGGAAGACCCGGAGTTAGAAGCCAACCAAGCGGCGGCATTCGAGCGGCTCTGACCAGCAATGCGGTAGAGATTGGGACCGCAGGACCCAAGCAGGTGCTCGGTAGATTCGCTGATGCGAGCAGCCAACCAGGAAGGTTCGTCTGGGTATAGTGGGTCCAAGTCACATCGACGGCGTCGGGCTCGGGAACCGACTCAAACAGCCGTACAAGATGAGACCCGAGGATTGGTCAACGAACTCCGGGCAGAATTTACTCGTTGGCAACACGAGCACGCTGTGAGGCCTCCGATCGATCAATCAGCCTCCCTATTGACGACACCCTTCACGGCGGAGATTATGGCCCAGCCTTACCCGCTCGACTTGCGAGTCCCCGGTAGCAAAGCGTATGATAGGCGCACAGACCCTAAGGTTCACGTCAACACCTACTACGGCAACATGTTGATGATGGGCGTGTCTGACGCCGTAATGTGTAGGGCTTTTTATTCCACCCTCACTGGTCGGGTGGCGGAATGGTTTAGGTCACTTCAACCGGGTTCCATCGCTGACTTTGCCACCCTGGTAATGAAATTCAACCGGAAGTTTGTGACCTCCAGGGTCATCAGGAAGCCCTACATGTACTTAGAGAAAGCCAAGCAATTAGAGGGGGAGAGCTTGTCCGAGTTTTTGGTCAAGTGAAAAGCGGCGGTCGGGGAGGTTGAGCCGATGGACGATCTTACCGCCATCCACATGCTCCACATCTCCCTTCGGGTCGGTTATTTGTATCAGGATTTCATCCTCCACCCGCCGACCACCTATGAGGAAGTTCTCCGTCGAGTGATGGATTATGCCAATGCCGGTGAGGCAAACGCCGTCAAGAGATCGCAAAAGGTCGGAACTTCATCCCGGAAGCCCTCCGGTCGGGCGGAACATCGATCGAGTGATGACCATCCCCGACCCCGTACCCGACTAGAGGAATTTACGGCATTGAACCGGTCCGCAGCGGAGGCCATGCAGTACGCCCAATCCTGCAATCTGATTCACCTTCCCCACCCCGGACAGGACGGGCCAGATAAGTCCAAACATTGCGCTTATCACCGTTGCGCCGGGCATGACACCGAGGAATGCACACATTTGAGGCAACTGTTGAAAGATCTGCTTAACTTGGGGAAGCTTGACAAATGTGTGGGCAAAAGAGAGGAGAGCAAGAAAGTTGCCGATCGGAGGGATCACAGACGTTCCCATCAACGTTCAGATCGGTCGGGTCAAGACCGTAAAGACCCCTACCCTCCATCCAGCAGTCGACCGGCGTTCAAACCGACCATTCATGTGATCTTTGGCGGTTTGGAAGACGCATCCCGACCCCGGGAGAGCTGCCCGGTCGCGACCGTAGACTCCTGTGAAACCGGGAAAAGGCAGAAGATGGAGCCTATCACCTTCTCTTTGGAGGATCAACCAGACAGTGGAGACCACGGGATGGAAGCCCTCGTGGTCACAATTGATATAATGGGGACCGATGTCCACAGAGTTATGGTGAACACGGGGAGCAGTGTGAACGTCCTTTATTTGGACGTATTTGAGAAGCTAAAGTTGGACAAACAAGAGCTGATTCCGGTCGGCATACCCTTGTCAGGATTCACCGAGGCCCTCATACGCCCCGAAGGGAAAATTAGGCTCCCGGTCGAAATCGGTACTCCGCCCAAATCTGTGAAGACCGAGTTAGAATTCGTTGTGGTCAATTTGCATTGCGTCCACAATGTTATCTTGGGCCGACCGGCCATCATGAAGGTCGGCGGGATCATTTCCTGCCCCATCTATGCATGAAATTTCCCACCCCGAACGGGGTTGGAGTTGTACGCGGTGATGTCCAGTCAGCGAGGAAGTGTTACACCCGGGCTGTCAACAAGCGAGATGCTGGATCTTCCCGGGTGAACACCATTGTGAAAGAAGCCACCAGTGATCGGAAGGAGCAACCCGAGCCTTCTGAGGAGATTGAAGAAGTTCCCTTATCCGAGGAACGGCCGGACAGGAAAGTCAAAATTGGTCGGGCCCTCACCCCCGAGCTACGATTGGAAGTACAGGCAATCCTCCGGGAATTTGCCGATATCTTTGCGTGGGGGCCTGAAGACATGCCTGGGATCGATCGTACCGTAATTTACCATAAGTTTGTTGTAGATCCCGCGGCAAAACCAGTCGTTCAGAAAACCCGGCATCTATCCTCCGACCGCCGGGAGTTTGTTAGAGAGGAGGTCAAAAAGATGGCAGCGATCGAGCACATCCGGCCGGTCATCTATCCTGAATGGGTGGCTAACATTGTTCTTGTTCCTAAGCCCCCGGCCTGGAGGATGTGTATCGATTTCACCGACCTCAATAAAGCATGCCCGCTCGAACTGTACCTGCTCCCGAGTATTCATCAAATGGTTGATGAGGCGGCCGGGGCCGAGCTTATGAGCTTCATGGATGCATTCAAAGGCTATCATCAGATTATGATGCACCATGAAGATGAAAGCAAGACAGCTTTCGTTACACCGGATGGGTTGTATTGCTACCGAGTGATGCCGTTCGGTCTCCGCAATGCAGGGGCAACTTATCAGAGGATGGTCAACATGCTCTTTGCGGATCTTTTAGGTCGAACGATGGAAGCTTACATCGATGATATGCTGGTCAAGAGCCGGGACCGAGCCGACCACACTCGGGATCTCCGGGAATGTTTTCAGATCATGAGGAAGTACCAGCTGAGATTGAATCCCAACGAGTGCACGTTTGCGGTGCAAACGGGAAAGTTCCTCGGCTACATGATGACCAAAAGAGGAATCGAGCCCAACCCCGCCAAGGTCAAGGCTATTCTTGATATGCAACCACCAACGACCGTTTGGGACGTGCAACAATTAACTGGCCGGTTGGCAGCCTTGAGCCGTTTCCTCTCCAAACTAGCCGAGCGCGCCTTACCATTCTTCAAGGTATTGCGCAAAGTTAATGGGTTCGTCTGGGACGATGAGTGCCGAGCGGCTTTTGACGAGTTGAAGGAATATCTGATGTCCCCAATCGTGTTGTCAAAGCCTGAGCTCGGAGAAGAGCTAGATGTCTATCTCGCCGTATCCGATCGAGCTGTAAGTGCAGTTCTATGCCGGAGAGATTTGGAGGGAGTCCAGCGACCGGTCTACTATGTGAGCCACGCGCTCCATGGTCCCGAGCTCCGGTACTCCCGGCTAGAGAAGATAGTGTATGCTCTATACATAGCTGCAAAGAAGTTGCCCCCCTACTTTCAAGGACGAGTCATCCATGTATTGACCGATCAGCCGATCGGGACAGTCCTACGAACCGCTTCTTCTTCCGGATGCTTAGTCAAGTGGGCGTTAATGTTGACTCAGTATGCGATCGAATACTGACCGAGACCAGCTATAAAAGATCAAGCTCTAGCAAATTTCTTGGTCGAGTGCACCGCTCGGGAGACCCGACCCCCGGAGGTCGCGGACCCCGAGGCGGCTTGGTGGTCGTTGGCGATGGGTCGAGCAGCAAGAAAGGAGCAGGAGGAGGGGTTGTGGTCACAAGCCCGGAAGGTTTCAAGGTGTACATTGCATTGATGTATCAGTTCCATCCAACCAACAATGAAGTCGAATATGAGGCCTTCGTCAATGGCCTACAATGCGCTCGGGACTTGGGGGCTGATTACATCCGGGCTCAGACCGATTCTGCGCTAGTGGTCGGGCAGGTCCTAGGTGATTACGAAGTGAATGGTGAGCGGTTACAAGCTTACCGGGACCTCGCCATGGAGAAGCTTACTTTGTTCTGGGGGTACACAGTTAGACATGTTCCCCGACTAGATAACGCTGATGCCGACATCTTGTCTAAGTTGGCACAAGACGCCCCGGAGCACATGTCAAAGATTGCTCGGATTCTAATGATCCCGAGACATAACATCCACCGATTGCCGGTCGTACCTATCCAACCGGCGGAGGAAACTTGGATTTCGGATCTCATGGAATATTTCCAGCACGGTCGGCTACCAGACGACCCCCAGCGTGCCCGAAAGGCCAAGTTGAGAGCACCGCGGTTTCAAGTTCTGGAAGGCCGTTTGTATAGGCGGTCGTATGGAGGACCATTGCTGCGTTGTTTGACCTCGTTTGAGGCAGACTTGGTGATGAAGGAATTGCACTCGGGCATCTACTCGTCACACCAAGGAGGCCGATCACTTGCTCGTCGTATTATGGTGATCGGGTACTATTGACCTTCTATCCAGCTTGATTGTGAAAAGCTCGCAAGAGGGTGCGAAACATGTCAGTTGTTTGCTCGTATGCCTGGACGACCGGCCACCTTCTATCAGCCGGTCACGACTGCAATTCCTTTTGCTCGTTGGGGGGTGGACATTTTGGGACCTATCACGCAGCTATCCGGTCGGAGACGTTTTGTCATTGTGGCCATAGATTATTTCTCCAAGTGGATCGAGGCCGAGCCATTAGCCACGATCACTTCTCAGCAGTGCGCCAGGTTTTTGTGGCGAAATGCCATTTCCCGGTTCGGCGTGCCCGTTCATCTCATTAGCGATAACGGCCGGCAGTTCGTGAGCCAGTACTTTCAGAACTTTCTTGCAACATTCGGGACAACCTCCATCCGATCTTCAGTGGCTTACCCCCAGGGAAATGGACAAGTTGAGAATGCTAACCGTACAATCTTGGAGGGTTTGAAGAAAAAGTTGGACTCGGCCGTTCGTCGTTGGGCACATGAGCTTCCTTATGTTCTCTGGACTTATCGCACGACCCCGAGGGAAGCAACGTTGGAGACACCGTTCGCCATAGTCTACGGTGCTGAAGCTCGACTTCCGATCGAGGCGTGGATCCCGACCGCCAGGGAGCGATCCTACAATGCTTAAGAAAATGAACACTCCATAAGCGTAGATCTGGACGGGGTCGAGGAAAAGAGAGAGATTGCCGCTCGACGTATGGCCGAGTATCAGAAAAGAGTTAAGAGCTCAAAGGACGTCCGGGTTAACCCTCGCTATTTTCAAGTGGGAGACTATGTTTTACGGCGTCTAGAGGCAAGCCAGCCGTTGGAAGGGGGCAAGCTAGCTCAGAACTGGGAAGGCCCTTATGTTGTCACAGCCGTCGTGCGCCCGGGAACTTACCGGTTGGAGACAACAACCGGAAGACTGATTGAGGGCACGTGGAACTCGGAAAACCTTGTTTTATTGATGTTATCACATCTGTGCTTGTTTTATAGTTATTTTGGATCATCTCGGTAATTAAGTTCTTTAATTTTGCTTATTTAATACATGTTTTCATTGCTATTATCATTTAATTATGGTTCACACTCGTTTTGAATGTTGTGTTTTTGAACCATTGTAGGTCAAAGTTATGAGCAAGGAAAGTCCTGGGACAAAATTAGAGTCAAAAGTGGATCAAAAGACCGAAGAGTTGTAATTCCCGTTGAATTCGGCGACAGCTTAGTATTTTGATCATATCTCATGCTAGGAATGTCCGATTGAGGTGATTCTTGCACCATTGGAAAGAAGACTCGAAGGGATACAACATATGACTCAGCAGAAAACTCGACGCTTCGAGCCATTTCATATCGCACAGATTGGCGACAGTTTAGTATTTTAATCATATCTCATGCTAGGAATGTCCGATTAAGGTGATTATTGCGCCATTGGAAAGAAGACTCGAAGGGCTACAACTCTTATGAAGACATCAAAGTCTAGATAATAAGAGAAAAGGGTCAAAATAAGCTTACAAACTGTACCTATTGCACTGGGCGCGATTTTAGAAACTTCCTAATTTAAAGTGGCATTCTCCAAAGCTAAAGAAAGGATAGTAATTTCCTAATCATATGATGGCAGCAATATCAAATGATTAAAGACGGCAATTTCTTAATTATTAAATAGGAATATTCGTAATTTTTCAAGGGTTAATCCCAACTTTGTACCTATTATAAAATCCCACCTTCCTCAACCTTAAGAAGACAAGAAGTTTAGTTGAGAGTAAATAATTAGAATAGATAATTTACAATTCGTAGTTTAGAATTCAGAGATTCTTGGAGACAAGAAGGAAAGAAATCAAGAGCCACAAGTTGTCTTGGAAAGCAAGAAGAAAACTAGGGAGATTTGGGAAAATCGTCTGGTTAATTCTTGTACTCTTTTGATGATTTGTAATTCTTTATTTATATTTGCTATGTATAATTTAGTCATGCTTGGCTAAATTCTTTAGAGATTCTTGGGTAAAAGTGTTTATGAACCTATGTGCCTAAGCTCGCAGTTTCTTTAATATATTATTATTTGAGTTTAATACTTGTGTTGCAATCGTGATAATATTGTTTGATGCTTGTAATTAATGGCCATAGTTACTAACTTCATAGCCATGTTTGTGTCACCAATGGGAGTTGGGGCATAAATTAGGGCACACACAATTGCACCTAATGGTTGGACCTTGGGAAAGGGGAACTTATTAGGGGAAGTTTATTCTAGATTGTTGCGCATCGGGAGATGGTAGTAATTAGGAATAATTGAATGCTGATCTTCGATCTTATCGGGTGTTTAAGCCACGGGAGTGGAAATTCACTAGGGGTAAAAATTACAGGAGTAATTCGATTCCACCTTGCATTCCCACACAAATCTTAATTCCAAACTAAATATTACAAACGTTAATTGGCACTAGGTGATTAAATACTTGAATCCCATGAATCTCATCCTCTCTCTTATTGTTTTCAAAATCCTGAACCTCTGTTTTATTTTATTTATTTTATGTCAATCAATCATTAAGTAATTGTTAGGATTAGCTCTAATGAATAAGTTAGTAACTAGTGCTTGATACAACCACTTCCCTGTGGAT